GCACACTGAACTGAGGCAAAACCATCTTTCAATTGAGGCAATTATTATTAGGAACGTTAACATTATTTTAAATATTTAAAAGAAATCAAATATTTTCATCTTATTGATCGAGCATACCAATTAGGTGAATATTATCATTTTCTACTATACAATTTCTCTTAGCATTTGTAATTCCAAATATAAGTCTAAATTATCTATATGAAACTAGTTAACTTGATTAAGCGTGTACACAAAGGATTTAGAAAGTTAAAAAACGTACAAAAGCTAAAATTGTAGGGAGACCTTTTATTTTATTTTATTTTCATCTAGGGAGAATCTATTCAAGTTAGAAGAAGAGACATTCCATCACAAATTTCCATTAAAGCAATTCTAAATGGACATGCAATATTACCAAAACCCGCACCCATTTTCATAATAAATTGTACTTCTACTTTTTCATTTTTAATTGAAAATAAGTGGTATTTCATTAAATAAAAAAGATATTGTTTTTTCTTCCAATTTTTCTTTTATTAAAAAAAGAAGAAGTTTTACATGAAATATCACTTAGTATGAAACAGAAGGATTACTAATCATCCAAGATTTGATTTAGATCAATTACATGATATAATGGATGTCCTTGGTAAAAAGTGAGATTTGTTAAATATTAAGATTTAGATCACTATTTTAGACGATGGACAAGTGTAACAAACACTAAAATTAATGTTGTGATTTTCTCAACTCAACAATAAACAATAGAAAGAACAAATTAATAAGCTTTGATTTATACAATATGAAGAACATGAATAATAACAGTAACAATAAAGGAGAAGGAGATGAGGGGACTAAGAGAGAATTAGGAATGAAAAGCAGAGGCTTTACCTAAGCATAATCACAATTCATATAAACCTATTGAAACCTCACACATAACCAGTTAATCCAATGTTGAGTTGCTTAGCCAATACTGGTCTAGGCCCATTCATAACAACAAGCCCAAAAAGAGATTCAGATGCATTTGGTCCTGATATTATCTTAATTATTTAGGGGCCGATTTTTTAAGTATACAACTTAACAATTGTATTTACACCAACATAGCAATACTTTTTTTTTCAATTATATAGCAAATTTTTTTTTTCAAAAGTAGAATTTTTTATTTTTTTTTAAATTCCAAATCAGCCACGCTTATCCCGATTTCCATAAATTTCTCCAATAATTTTACCTTCCCTAAATTATTCAAATATGTTAAAAAAATAAATCGAAACAATAAAATAAATAATAAAAAGAAAACGAAAAATCGGAAATTAAAGCATGACAACCCACAATTTATTTTTTAATTCCTTAATTTTCTCCCCCTCTTTTATTTACCTTCCATAAATATCTCTAATATAGTTATTGCTTCTCTCTCATAATTCTAATCAAAATCAGACTCTATACCTTCACTATTCTGAAAGTGTGTTCAATGGATTTTTTTCAGCACGACGGGAGATGGAATGAAACTGGTATTCACCATAATAATTGCTTCGATTATGGTTGTTTTAAAGTATATTTATTGGTTTTATTGATTTTTTTGTATAAATATATATATTGTTATAGCTTTATTGATTGGTATTTTTTGGATGGAATTTGTAAAACATAAACTATATTGTTCTCAATTGCTTTGCACCATACGTAGGTACTCGCCTATAGTTAAATTATTGGTTAATTAGTGGTTTATATGTTGGTGTAGTCCATATATTTTGAATGCATATGTTTTTTAGTTAGTGGCGTATATACACCAAAATATTATGGTGTATTTTTGTTGAATTTTTATGTTATTTATCGGGTTATTCTACTAGGCACTATTATTTATTTTGTATCTACCAAAAACAAAACACCAACAAATATAAAATAAAATTTTATAAAGTTTTGTTATATGACAGTGGTTAGTTTGTTTATTGGTATTGTTTGGTTAGTTTGTAGTTCAAATGATGATATATATATCAATTTGAAGTGTAACAAATTTTTAATCCTAATATACACCATAATAATTGTAAATACTAAAATTTATACCAATTATGCATAGCATTTAAACCAGTAAATTAATTTTAGCATTCTTTATCATAAATTATACCACTATAATACACAAATATAAGTTGGATTGTTTTGAAGTATTTTATTGGTTTTATTGATTAAACGTTTTTATAAACATATATTGCTATAGCTTTATTGATTGGTGTTTTTTGGATGGGATCTTAAATATGGAGTGTAACAAGTATGTATTAGTTTTTTAATTATTATTTTTTTAGTTTGATTGCTAAAATATATAGTTCATTTTTTTTTAATTGTTTTAAGTTTTTTTTTGTTGTTTTTCTTGCTTGATTTTTTGTGTAAATAGATATGTTAACTATGAAAAATATTGCTTGAATGAATGCTTCGTATATTGTTTGACACACAAATTTGAATTAATTTGATTATATAAAATGATTGAAAAATTTTGGGTTAAATTATGGTGTATATCTTGGTCTAGTTTATGTATTTCGTACTATAGTGCACTATACACCAAAATTTAATCATAATGTACAATATTGTTCAAGATAGCAATGTTAAACTATCATGTGCACTTTTTTTTTTAATTAAGTTGAAAATGGTAATTTCTTGGTTAGTTTGTGGTGTATATATTGGTGTACATCATTTATTATATATTAGATTGAACTGTACACCAAAACATCACCATATTATACACCAAAACGTTACCATACTGTACACCAAAGCGTCACCATATTATATATCATTTCTAATTAATTTGTAATTTAAAAAATTATAAATAAGTGGTTGTATTATGATGTTATACATTCTTGTAGGTTAGTATGTGTCTAACTATTTATCGAAATGTATCGCAGGAATGTATGTAGATTTCAAGATTGAAGGAGTGATATATAACACAAACACCAAAAAGACGTTTACCAAATAGATACAATACTTTGTAATTAATTTTATTTTTTTATGAATGGAATTTTTACAATTACTAGTGATTTTTTCATATATATATTGGTATAATTATTTATTAATTCGATGATAAATATTGATAGATAGTTGATAATATTATGGTGTAAGGCAACATATAGTTGAAATATATAACAAATATTAAGTTATAATCATGAATATTTACTTCATGTGCAATTTAATTATTTGTTGGTGTAAGTTATTCATTGTGATTAAAAATAATTGTACACCAAACTTAATCTACAATGTACATTATTTAATATACTTTTTTAAAAAAAGTTAAAACTATTGAACGGTGCTATGGTTTATAATAGGAATAAAATTTGATTATATTTTGGTATAAGTTATTTATTATAATTACAAAAAAATGGTCAACGATATAATACAAATTCTATACCATTTAATATACTCACCCCCCACCCCACCCCTTTTTAACTAACATATATAAAATTGAAGAGAGAAGTAAAAAAAGATCTTCCCATAATAGTTGAAATGAAATTAAAGAGAGAGAAAATAAATTCAATAGTAATTGTTTGAAATTAATGAGAAACGTGTTTAAGGATAGAAATCATATTAATTAGATGATACATTTTTACTCCCTAAAATTTAGTGTCAAAATCTAAAAAGATAATTAGAAAAAACGTAATTGAAGAGAGAGAGAGAAAATTAGCATCAAATTCTAAAAAGATAATTAAAAAAAAAACGTAATTGAAGAGAGAGAGAAAAAATTAGCATCAAAATCTAAAACAGATAATTTAAGAAAAACGTAATTGAAGAGAGAGAAAAATATTTTTTACCATAGTAATTGTATCAAGTAAAAAAGAGAAAAAAAAAAATTAAGTAAAAGAAATGTATGCAATTATAATTGTGTTGATAATCTAAATGGTAAAAGTAATAAATAATGAGTTCCATAAAATAAGCCACTAAGGCACAAAAATAGGTATAAACACGTGTGAAGATATATATATTTAATAAGCTGTCATATGTATAATTAAAATGTTATTGTTATAAACAAAAAAAGTTTGAAACTGTTTAGGAGAGAGAATATTTGATAAATATTAATATCCTAATTATACTCCATATAAAAGGCACAAAATATTAATAGTATGAGAGAGAAAAATCTGTAAAACAAAATTAAATTAAATACAAAATTTAAATGTTTGTTATGTATGTAATTTAAAAACTTAGTTTGTAATTAAATATAAATATATTGATATTTTGTTAATAAAAGTCTTAAGGAGTATATTTTTGTAATTTTCACATTATTTAGGCCATGTTTTATAGTATGGAGATAAAAGATTAGCAAATGAATAACTAATCACTTAATTTGTAAATGAATCGTTGTATATATAATCACTTAATTTGGCTGAGCTCAAATCATATCATTAGCATAGCACAATTTAATCTTTTCTCGGCCCCTTTCTCCCTCCTCCTCTCTCGATATAATAATAATAATAATAATAATTCGATAAAGAAGTGGTTTCTACAACTCACCATATTATTTACATGCATGATTACATATTAAAGTTATACCACGATAATTTATTAGGTTCAAACAAACAATTTTGCTTCTAGGGAGACCTTTTAATGGCCATATAAATGAAGGTCAAAAGCACACAGAATACTATATATATCAAAGTCGCCTTCATTCATACAGAATCATAATTGGTTGAGCATAATTAATTAAGATATTTGTAAATAAAAACAAAAGTTTAGTGACGTATATGATGAAGTCACCTCACTGATAAACCGGGAAACAATATTATTATAGAAAATAAAACAAATAAATTAAAATGAAACGTATAAACTATACTCCTTTAAATTTCTCTAATAAGAAAAATCGATCTTATTAACGACTCTTATATCTTACATAATAAAATAACGAATGTATTCCTGTCCATTTAGTACTATTATTAACATTCAGAATTGTGGTCAACTAAAGACATTACTATAAAATATTTGTTCCATGTCTTCCCTCATTATCTGGAATCTACTTTTCTATTGTAGCATCTAGTAGTTGCGTCACAATCTTAATTAAACAATGACAAAATTAACAGCAAATATATTCTCCTTTAAACTAATTAGTGGATTTATGTCAAATATGCTTTGGAAAAGTACATTTTCACCAAATAATAAAAAAAATTATCGTCTCATCGAGGTGCTAATGATACAGATATTTCCGTGGGCATTTTGACCCGATCCGACCAAAATTTGGACTCTAAATACAGCTTTGATATCTTACCCGCCACGCGGCGCATATCCGGCCTATCATCTGGTTCCACGTGTAAACAATCCAACGCCAACCGGATTACCTTCTGTGCCACCTCGACCGGGAACGAGTCACTCAACCTCCGGTCCACCCAATTCCTCAACCGTCTCTCCACTCCTACGCCGCCGTCTTCCTCCCTATCGCCACCGCACTCAACTACTTCCCTCGCTGTATCTATAAGGGAGATTTTACTGTAATTTCCGGTTGTCTTGTCGTACTTGAACCTAACAGGCTCTTCGCCGGAGAATAATTCCAACAGCACAACTCCAAATGCGTACACGTCGGACTTCTGTGTTGCTACTCCTGTCAGTTGGAACTCCGGCGATATGTAACCTCTCACGCCTTCAAACTCGCGAGTCCTGGTTGCCGATCCCTTGCGCCCCGGCGTTGAAACTGCTGGTGCCTCCTCGTAGATCTCACCGCCATTCGTCACGGCGTTGCTCTCGCTTCCACTGCAAAGCTCCGCCGCTCCGAAATGGCAAATCTTTGCGTTAAAGGAAGGCTCTGTGACGATGATTCCACTGCTCTTTACATATTTGTGAACTGGATCGATCTCCAAACCGGTAGTGTTGTGCATATAATCCAGACCGTGAGCAACATCAGTAGCGATTTGAATTCGTGACATCCAAGTGGAGAGAACCGTATAGCTTGGATTTCTAGGGTTCCGGAGGCAGAGAGAAAGGTTAGAACCAACGACAAAATCGTACACCAAGTAAATGTGATCGCCAGAAATTGATGCACCGAGGAGTTTAATTATACTTTTGTAATGACTTCTACAAATCACTGATAATTTCGCTCTCAATTCAGCTTTCTCCATAGATTTCTGGATTCTTCGTTGGAAGATAATTACATCTTTGCCATGGAGCGTGCATCGCCACGATTGGGATGAAGAGGTGGAGGAGTAGCGCTTGGCAAGGAAGTTGTTGGTGGCGGCACGAATATCGGAGAAATCATAAACTTGAGGATTATCCGGCAACGATGCTCGGAAACTAGTGAGCGATGCCTGGCTGGAGACGGAGGTTGTTGCAACGGAGGTGTCAAGGTGATATTCGGACCCTGACCCGGAGCCGGAGTTGGAGGTGTAACTGACCCGATTGCTGCTGTTTGTTGGACCCGATTTAGATACTGGTGATCTTGTTGGCTGTGTAGAAGATTGTGCTTGTTGTGTAGAAGAGATTTTAGGAGTTGTTGAATAACGGGATCTTCTTGCTGGGGTTGAAATGGGTTGTGCAGCATCAACTGCCATTTTCGTTTTACACATAAAGAAAGAAGGTAAGATGATTATTGCTCATCTACCAAAGTCATAATTGGGAAGAAAAACAAGAATGAAACTTAACAAGATATAGTTATTATTGGGAAGAGAAGCTTTTATTATTATCCTATAGAATTGAATGATGTGATGAAAAAACAAGTCAAAAGAATTGGGATTGAGTTTTGGTGATGAATGATGGAAAGGGAAAAGTTGAAAAACCAATATTCTTCTTCATTTCTAATGGGAATCCATCGAGCCCTCGCCAACAAATGAAAATTCAAATAAACAATCAATTGAATTGGCGGAGATATAATATTATTTAGTCAAATAAACTAAAGTAGGGGTGAGTAGAGGCGGCTACTATGAATTAGGAAGGTTGGGTAGTAGATAATTTGAGGTTAGCAGATTGGGTTCCAATTCTAAAAGGAAACACTTTTCTGGTTTGGCTGAAAATGAAAGGAGTACACCTAATCTGAAAGGACCTTTTATTAGTTGACTGTTTCTAGTAGTTGTTTTCAGACTCTTCAAAAATGTCATTGATTGTGTATTAAATTATTTAAAAATAATATATTTTTTATAGATTTAACACGGATATAGTAATATTTTTGAAAAGTCCGAGCAACTTAGGTTGTGCTCATATTTGTCAGTCGCACTCCTCTTCTTTTACATATTGGTAAGCTATGAGTACTCAATATACAACAGAATCCTCTTTTTGATTTTTCATTTGATATTCGATATCTGCATTGAAGCTCAACTAATCTGGATTTGCATAAATTTTCATACCCTAAAATTTAAACATGAGACTTTTGATTAAGAGATAATAACTCATATGTGGGTGGTATATATAGCAGAATCCTTGTTCGGTGGGTGGCCCCATGTAGTGTCTTGAAACTGAAGTCTTAATTACTGCATAACATACCAACAATACATTCCACATTTTCGTTTGACTTTTTAAAAACTTTAAGGTTTGTATTATTTTTTTAATGCAATTTACAAGTTGTCTTAAAATAAACTTCATTGACATATGAAGAATCTCTGGAAATGATCTAGATGACAATGCTAAATAAAAATAGCATTGTTTTTTTAGTACAACTAGTTGATATAGCATAACTGAGGAAGTATTTTATACAAGTCTGAGTTTTGAAAGTCTTGGAATTGATCAACACGCCTTATAACTTCAAATTTAATACGCCAAAGAATTTTCTGGAACACTTTTTGACCACAGAAAAATCAATCAAAATTATATGAGTCGTCTTCCCATCTTTTGATGTCATTTCTATCAAAAGTGCAGTGACATTTTAGAGTTCCAATTTTGTCAAAAGGTTTCATGTTGGAATATTAATAAGTAGTAGTAGTATTCAATCTCAACAATATACTCACAACAAAGTTAGTAAACGTTATGATAAATAGTGTCAAGATGTAATTAAATGATTAAGAAAAGGAGGACAAAAGGTTCTTCTTATTCACCTTTTGACTTAAGGAAATAACAGCAAAAAAGTGGACCATCGGCACCCAACGCATGCATTCTTTGAAAAGTTTGCCAAAAATGTCTAATCTCACTTTTAGTTAATCTCGAGAAAGATAATATTTGATATCTTGATTTTTTTCATGAATATTTTTAAGGTTTACGAGATTTTTAAGATGTGTTTTCAGTAGAATATATATCTTTTTTATATATATATAATTGTAAGTTAAGGTTTTGATAAGAATAGTCTCAAAAAAATAATTCATAATGAACTTTCAAATTTGAAAATCATGAATTGAACTTATTATCTCGTAGATGTCATATCCAATAAACTGTTTAATTATGTTACGATAACCCACTTGATGATGTGTTTCATTTCTCACTTCACTTTAACCTCCATTTAATATTCTAATAATGTCTTCTAAATTTTATGGGTCAAATAAAAGAAAGTGGACTTTTATAAATATGGCATAATGATAGATTTTGGATGTAGTAATACAAAAGTTGCTGACCAAAGAAACTCACCTAGTCAAAAAAGAAATCAGTTAAATCCAAACAAACAAAAAAACAAAAAAACTTTTCAAACCCCACGAGTGGTCTACATTTAACTATGAACACATGTAGGGTAACGGCAATATAAAAATATAGTATCCTTAACTAGAAGGGTTTTTAGAGAGCATCAGACTTTTCAGTGCGAATTTAGATTTAATCAGACTCCAATGTGTGAGTCAGACACCGGCTTGGAAATATAGTATTTCCAAAATTCACATTAATATTTTGGTACCTTGTAAACTTTCAAAGGATATAGAAGAAAAATTATGTATAGTAGTCAAGAAGGCATTCTGCCATTTCTCCTAAAGGGTTATAGCTAATAACAAGATTCAGGAAGCAAGGTAACACTTCCAAAGAAACTAAAATTAGCACATATGTACATTTTACATCGCTGCCAAAAGTGTTGACTTCATTTGCCATCACAGACCATTTACATTGTGGATGGAAGATAGTCGTATACGATTTATGAAGTTCTTGTACAAATTCTGCAAACCTGCATTTTACCGTGATTGTGCTGGAATGCCAAGCAATGAAGCAAGAGAACAGAGATGACTTATTTTTTATGGAACATCACCAAACAGAAGAATGCCACGAAACGGCTGAGGAAACCCACAAGGATGAGCTTTATCAAGCAAGGATACCAGTCACCAAGATCGTAGCGCCTTGACTTAAGTAAACCACATCTTGAGATCAACCACACACCAGAGTACCTGGAAGTAAAATAGTTTTTAACAGAACTTTACGCCTGAACGACTTCTCTAACATTGTCCAGACTTGGCTTAAGGAACATTTGTAGTGCCAAAGACCAGATACATTTGATTCTGAATGCCTGATGGTTGATGACAAGCTAAGTGTAAACCTAGCAGGAATTTATCATGCCAGGCAAGACAACTCTAAAGCATTAAAGAAATACACCATTTCGACATATGAGATACAAAGAGAGAGAATGCACCGAACCTTCTAGCTGTTGCAAGCAAAAATGCTTCCAAAGCCCACTTAGGATAGCAATAATTTCCTATTTTTGCTGTAAGTGGGTCATCGTCCTGTTTTGCAATGAGAGTCAAAACAACTGGTAGCAACACCGACCACTGGACAGACAAAATTAGTTTGTAAGTATAGAATCACAGTAAAGAGTCGGTTCATATTATATAACCATTTAAGTTCAAAACACCCACCAGTTGGGCAGGACCAGGTTCAAAGTAGATGGCCATACAATAAGCTATTCCCGTAATGCAGTATGTGAGACAAAGCAAGACGAGGTAATTATCCCAAATGGTGGATCTTGGATTATTGAAGAAATAGAACATTGATAGATAAACTGCAGGCTTTACAATTGTACTGAAATGGTCAAGCGTATCCTTGGCCATAAAGTAAGCCAAGCTGCTCATGCCGGATGCACTCTCTCTCCAATAGTATACTTTGTCTAGAGAAAATGACCTCAATGCTGCAATCTTGCCGAGGAGAGCTGAAAGTCAAGAATAAACATTATGTTAGATCAGAACAATGTTTTAGCACATATGAAAAAGGCTAGTTTCAGGATTGCCAGTTAAAAAATTTCACAATGACTGAGATAACATCAAGTGAAATGAACTAATATACACAATTTTCTTTCAGAAGTTTCATGGTTTTATACAATGTACATAAGACATACTTTTAGAGCAACAGATACCATGCTTAATCATTAATACAAGTTCTTAATCTAAGCTCTCTCTTCCCTATTATACTTCTCAGTATCTGTGGTATCTTGCCTTTTTTGAGATTCGGGATGCTTTCTTCCTGTAAGTAGTAATGCGGTGGCAGATCTATCAGTAAACAGGAGATGCCATCGCTCATCCGGCTGGATGTCAATCTGACGGATGGATAGGCGTAGCAGAAAAGAAGTTCAAACAAACAGCAACGAATTGCTTGATTTGACTCGAAAAAGTTTGCCAGCTTGATATGATAATTTACACTAAGCTAATCTTCAAGTGCAGCATATATTGTATTTGCAAAATCCTTTCAATTTGTTAAGAAAGAAATGGATTTATTAGTGATGAGTTAAAGATTAACTGCTACTAGAAATCATGATATGTATTTCGTAAATTTCTCAAGCAGAACTCAAAATTTGATGCACCTTCTAAAACTTGTAAACTTCCTTTTTTAACCTTTACGCAGTCATTTGACCAAGTGCACAGTAAAATAAGACTACATATATCAGCTGTTTTAAAGTTTTAACTTACAAACTGCAATGACTGTGTAAAGGTAACCCTGTGCTCCAAAGCTTTCATCGCTCACTTTAGCAATTGTTCCTAAACAGATCCCAGCAAGTAATAGTATAAGATAATCAACCGATTGTATCCTCGCTTCCCGCAGTCGCTGCTTGCCGAGTCTGATTAATATACAATACTAAATTGTTGGTAGATGGCATTCATGGAATATCACAGACTAACTTGAAATATTCATAAAGCAAAGAACATACTAGCACAAATCTGCTTGTCAGGCTCTTGGGCATGTTAGCTACTATATAAATATGTTTAGTCTTAACTATGGGAAAGCAAAATGGACAGATTCAAAATATTCTAACACAGGAATTGAAGAACGAACAAAATAAATGACTTGCTAGTGTTAGCATGAGAATAATTGTATACATTAATGTAATTATATAGTGCTATATAAATTAGTATTATTATATAGATTTGTCGTAGGATCAACAACAACAACATACCCAGTGAAATCCCACTAGGTGGGGTCTGGGGAGGGTAGAGTGTACGCAGACCTTGCCACTACCTCGTGGAGGTAGATAGGCTGTTTCCGAAAGACCCTCAGCTCAAGTACAACAAATCCAAGTTAAAGGGGAGGAAAACAGTGTACAAAACATACCATCCAATAAGAAAGATAGTGAATAATCAACAGAGGAGACAGTAGCCTCAATAGCACAATGAGAGAAGTGAAACGCAATAAACAACATAAGGCTATAGGTATCACAGACAAGAACTGCAAGTGCAAGGCTAAGACTACTACACACGCTAACAACCCATACCCTCACAAGAAAGGATAACA